TGTGGGGGGTGTGAGTGTGGGTGTGAGTGAGTGTGTGGGGGGGAGTGTGTGTGTCAGAATGTGTGAGTGTGTGTGTTGGTGTGGGTGTGAGTGAGTGTGAGTGTGTGTTGGTGAGTGTGTGTGTGTGTGTGGAGACGCTGACGCAGGGCTGCCGTTTCTCGCGCTGACCCTGCTGACGGCTGGGGGTGCATCTCAATCTGGTGGCAGGGACGCGGCAGGGGTGTACCAGTGACGTGCAGGCCTGAGTCTCCGCTCGCACCTCCGCCTGCGGCCGACCCTGCCCGCAGCCCTTCGCAGGCTCACGTGTGTGGCCTTGTGCTTTAATCCCGTGCTTTCAGTTTTGTCACCATTAGATTTAAAGTTTTCCAGTTGCTGTGAACGTTTGATTGATTGTGTTACTACTTCTCTAAAATCTCGGTGAGAAGGTCTCAGAGTTCTAGTGAGAACATTGCTCCTTAGGAACCTGTTGTGTTGGTTTAGAGCGACAAGGGTGATAAGCATCAGGCCTCTTCTTTGTCCTGCTTTTTAGGAAGCGTGTTGGGATAGTGCTTGGTGCTGAACGTATGGACCGCCTGCCTTCCACCTCTACGTGATCTGACTTTGCCCTGGCCGGTGTGGCTCAGTGGATAGAGCATCGGCCTGTGGACTGAAGGGTCTCGGTTTCAGTTTCATTCAAGGGCACCCGCCTGGGTTACGGGCTCGATCCCCAGTAGGGGGCGTGCAGGAGGCAGCCAATCAATGCTTCTCTCTCATCATTGATGTTTCTCTCTATCTCTCCCTCTCCCTTCCTCTCTGAAATCAATAAAAATATTTTTTTTAAATTAAAAATTAATTATCATAATTTTGGGATCTTTTATTTCTGTATGCTGCCTTCAGTTTTTTGGGAGGCAAGTTGTGTGCTGGTAGCAAAAGTGTAATGGTAAGTATAAGGCCACCTATGAAAATTAATTATCGTAATTTGGGGATCTTTTATTTCTGTATGCTGCCTCCAGTTTGGGAGGCGAGTTGTGTGCTAGTAGCAAAAGTGTAATGGTAAGTATAAGGCCACCTATGCATTTAAGAACATAAAACAACAGCAGGAGGCCACAGCGGAGACGGAGTCCTGCGTGGATGAGCAGGGGGAGGAGCTGGAGCAGGAGGTTCAGATGGAGGCCTTGCCTTCAGGTGGGAGGTGTGTGGAAGGCTGGATTGGAATGTGCCTGTCGGAGGCGTGAGGGGAGACGGGACAGTAGTCCTTGGACCACCAGTTGGCGACCGCTGCTTTAGAGGAAGGCTCTACAGAGTTCTGCGTGGATGTGATGCGTGAGCCAGGAGCAGTTGGAGATGACGCGAAGTTTATACATCGCATTGCTGAGTAACAGTTACGACGTGATCACAAACAGGAACAGGGCCTCCTTGGGGTAAAGACGGTGTCCCGAAGCCGGGGCCTCGGCCAGGAGCTGACCACGGACTGTCTCCGTTCGCCCCGCCAGCGTGTGCCCTGTGTGCTTCCTTAGAGTCCCGCCTCCTGTGGCCTTCCCTTCTGCGCCTGCTCCTTAGGAGACGGCACTCGCATTTCAGAATGTCAGCCAGAACTCTCAGGTGGCTCAGCCGCGTCCTCGCTTCCGTTTCAGAGCGCCCACCTGGCGATGATAGACACCCTGATGATGGCCTACACGGCGGAGATGGTCAGCGTGGAGAAGGTCATCGCGTGCGCCCAGCGGTACTCCACCTTCTTTCAGGCCACCGACCTGCCCTACGACATCGAGGATGCCGTCATGTACTGGATAAATAAGGTGGGTGCACACGCGGGGGCCGGGACGCTCCCATGGCAGGAAAGGCGGGTCCTCAGACACTGCCGCTCTGCGGACAGAGGGTTTGCGCCCCAGATCTGTGTGGTGTCCGGAGGTGAGGCCTGGGGAGGTGACCTCAGAGCTCCCTGCCTCTTGGGCATGTGAGGTCCCAGAGAAAATGGCCAGACGCTGGCTCTCACCAGACACCGTACCCGCCCCCGCGGAACCTTGGCCTCCAGCCTCCAGCTGTGAGGGACACGTTTCTGCTGTTCGCAAGCTGCCGTCTGTGGTCTTGCTGATGTCGCCTGAGCAGACACACACTCCATTACCCTTTCTGTTTCAAATCAAAGCGAAAGCTCAGGTTGTGCAATCTGGTTAAAATTTCCCATTCCCCCCCCCTTTTTTTTATGTCTATTCTTTTTTTTTTTCAAAGAGGAAGGGAGAGGGAGAGAGATAGAAACATCAATGATGAGAGAGAATCATGGATCGGCTGCCTCCTGCACGCCCCACACTGGGGATCAGCCCACAACCTGGGCCTGTGCCCTGACTGTGAATCGAACCATGACCTCCTGGTTCGTAGGGCGGCGCCCCACCACCGAGCCACGCCGGCCGGGCGAGAGTGTAAAATGTTGACGAAACAGCAGTGTTGTTGCTCCCGAGCCTTAAAGCTGAGGCTCCTGGTGGCCTGTCCCCAGCCCGCCCGTCCCGCCCGCAGCGGGTGTTGGGCAGCATCCCGTGCGTCAGTGAGCTCACCCTCGTGCGCGGACGCGGCCCCTGGAGGGCGCTGCCTCCGGGTGGGAAGGGAATGCTCTCCTGTGAGCGGGGCTGCGGTTGGACACACAGGTCTGGCCACAGGAGTGGGAGGCGCGTGCTCTTCCTGTTCTGCGCGGATGGACCTTCACGTCGGTGCTTTTGTATTTAAGGTGAACGAACACCTGAAGGACATTCTGGAGCAAGAACAGAAATTGAAGGAGCATCACACAATGGAAGCCCCAGGAGGTCAAAAGGTATGTTTCGCATTGAAAACGGGCCCTCGTGCGGCCCGTGCGCCCACATGTGCTGTTACTTGGGGAAATGTCCGCGGTTGTGGTCGTGAACTTGGTTTTGGTGACGGTAACTGTGCCCGGGAAAGCCAGGCCGGGAACACCACGTAAGTAGGAGCACAGAGCGAAGGGGTGGATGACGGTGCTCAGGAAAACGTCAGTGCTCGAGCTCAGGTTCTGAGGTTCTTTTGGCAAAAATAATGGTTTGGACTTTGGTAAAATGTAGGAAACAACACGAAAACAGCGTCCGGGTATCAGCCCTGTGATGCCGTGTAACAGGCCCGCCTTTACCATCGTGGCCCAGGAACTGCGAGTTGCCCCCAGGGAGGTTCTGGGGGAAGAAGAAACATCAGCGTGAAGTCGGTCTTTGGACGTTCTCGAGCGGCACCTGGCCTTCCTGCTCTGCAGATCTGTGTGCTGCACACGCAGCCCAGCTGTGCTCCTGCAGGGCCGTCCAGCAGAGCGCATCGCGGGAGAGCCCTTCAGGCGCGGGGCACGGGGCTCGGGGGGAGACATTGCCCTTGTTCAGAGCCTTCCTTTCCATTCGGGCGACTCGGGCTCCTCATTGTTACGCCCACCGTGTGCCGGTGATGCGCTGCCCGCCTCCTGCCCGCCCTCGTTCCAGTAGATTCCTTACCACCATCTTCTCTAAACATGGGCCTGCGCGGGGCCACTTGTACTGTGTTGGACCAGAATTCACAGTGCGAAGCTCTCTCTTTAGAGCGTGCGCTCCCCCATGGTGTGTTTCTGACCGTAGGGTAGGCCGTGTCCTAGAGGGGGGCCTTGTGAGGAGCGCCAAGTCCGAGGGAAAGCCAGACCCTTTACTGCTGGGATGTTCTCCGTTTCCTTTTTTTCAAATTGCTCTTTCTGCTAATAATGCTCCTTTTGATGCTAAAGTAGGAGGCCCAGTTAAATTTGAAGTTCAGATAAATAACAAACAGTGTTTTGGTCTAAGTTGCTTGAGCCTCTGTATTGTACTAGCGCCCTGCTCTAGGGTCTCTGGGGTTTGCAGCACGGCCTCAAGTCCAGCATCCATTCTCCCGAGGGCCTGCGCGGAGCGTGTAGCAAATGCATCTGAGCTTCCGGTCAGACCAGCTCTGCCCTGACGCTGAGTGACCTTCCCAGGCCCTCGACCTCTTGGCCTCTCTTCATCTGTAAACATTAAGGGTTGGACTAAGGGCTCCTAAATTCCGTGACTAAAATGATTCCCAAATCTCCCTTCTTCGCTGTGTTAGTAACGGCAGGTACTAGACACGACAGGTCTGTGGAAGTAGGGAGCTGGTTGTCATGAACTTCCATATGTACACCTGGCAGCCGTGGCAGCTGTGGGAGTGAACACCTGGAGGGCCTTCTCGAGGGTGTGGACTTGACTCGGCCCTGCGGGTGGCGGGTGGACTTGGAAAGTGGGGCACTAGGTCACAGGGACGTGTGCCTGCAGACATGCCGTTGGAGTACATGGCACCTTTGGGAATGAGCCAGTAGACCATTTGGTGGTTTTTGAGAGCTGTGAATCCACGGGTTTGTGTTCTTAAGTTTATGAGACTAACTATGTTGGGTTTGTTTCTCAGAATATTACAGATACGAGTCTACTCGGTGTAGCATTTGCCACTTTTTAAAGAGAAACATGGGTGAGGGATTCTGCAGGGGCTGGTTCTGGGGGAAGGAGTGGCTTTTGGAGAAAAGACATCCCCTCGTTCTAGTTGCTTTCATTTGAAGGTGGAGGCTCAGAATAGCCCCTCTCCCCAGTGAGAGCAGCGCACGCGCTGCCCGATTTCCTCCGCCCGTGCGAGCAGAGCTCCTCAGCCATGGAAACCATAACCCACTTTTGTTTTAACTCCATTCCTTCACGCAGCACCGAGATACATTGGAGAAAAGGGCTCTGAAGTCAAGTCCATTGGGAGATGCTGCCTCCCCCGCCCCGGGCCCCTCTCAGAACGTCACAGCCCATTTTCAGACATGAAGGCCCCTGGAGAAGCCTGCCCACCTGTCTCCCAAACACGTGTGATCTCTGAACTCCTCTGTGAATGGCATGTGCTAACACCCACAGAACCGTGTTCTTTGGAGCCGCTCTGGGAACCTGGTGTCTGACCTGTAATGTTCGCATTGACCCGGGTGTGTTCCATACGTTTATAAACACACAGAACAAACACAGGTTCCAACACAGGGCGTCACCCTCCCATGCATCGTTTGGTTTGACTCTGAGGCTTACCTGGGCTCCTTTTCATACTGTTACTTCAACTAAATAATTGTGAGGCCTTGACCGCCTGATGAGGTAACGTTCACCTAGGATTCTGCCCCTGAGGTTCTGTTCTGTAGTTACGGTTTCTCTTGTGTGGGCTTTGAGGTTAATGCTGATTAGTTCCTTTCGTTATACTATCGCCAACATCCCTTTTAGCAAAAACAGCACCTCAGTTAGAATATGTCCCTGGCCATCAGCTCAGTGAGGAACTTGGCGTTTTAGGCCTTTAAAAAATTCAGAGGTGGCCCCCGATTTCTCTCCAAGCAGTAAATACTGCGTGAAGATGACCGGCCTTATGTTAGACCTAACTCAGATGCCTGGGGCCATGGCTTCCATCTCTGTCCACGAGTGCGGAGCGTCTCCCCTCCCAGGGCCATGTTCACGAGGGGCCGACCCGAGTGAGCTTTCCGTGGAGCTCACGGACGTCGTTTCCTAACCCCGTCCCTCCTCCTATATTTATTACTTAGGGTGCTGATGTAAGCAGGTCTGTCCTCTTTATTGTCTGTATGAACTTATTTAACGGGTTGTAACCTACTTCTGTCCATATGCACTTATTTTTAAATAAACCTGTAGATTTTAAGCTGAAGTATTAACTGGCATTTAGAGATGTTACGGGCGCTGTCGCCGTGGGCCTCCGCGGTGGGAAACCTACCGTAGCTCCACTGAAACTAACCTGACGCCTTTCCTTCCCTTTGCTTCCGCTGCTCCTCTGAAGTCTCCCTCCAAGTGGTTTTGGAAACTGGTGCCCGTAAGTTTGCTCTGAGAACTGTGCCCGTAGCGTGGCCTTGCTGTGTCCTGCTGGCACGGTCACTACAGCCGTCAGTCACGCAGAGGGACTGCCCGGCATTGGTCCCGTGGCATAGGGAGGTAGACAGTCCCGCCAGGCTGGGCGGAAGCTGTAGTCATCTGACGCGGCAGCACCTTTTGCTTATCTTGTCAGTAACCACAGACCATCAGTAACCAGGTTTTAAAAAAGCATAAGTTTTGCCCTAGCTGGTTTGGCTCAATGGGTAGAGTGTTGGCCTCATCAGTAACCAGGTTTTTAAAAAGCATTAGTTTTAATAACATTAGTAGGAGTGAATATGAATTATATGTGTGAACTATTTGTATTTAAAGCCATGGTTTTGAAAGAATCATCTCCTCTTCAGCCTGAGTGGTAGGGACACTGTGTGATAGCAAGTGACCGCTGTCCTTACCAGCCCTGGACTTCCTGTCTCAGTTCTGGTTGACCCAAAGGGCTGGTCTCTCAGGACTAAGGCTGGGGTCTATATCTTTCTCCCTCTCTCTTCCTCTCTGAAATCAATAAAAATATTTTTATTTAAAATAAAAAGATAAAAAAGCATAAGTTTTAATAACGTTAGTAGGAGTGAATATGAGTTATATGTGTGAACTATTTGTATTTAAAGCCATGGTTTTGAAAGAATCATCTCCTCTTCAGCCTGAGTGGTAGGGACACTGTGTGATAGCAAGTGACCGCTGTCCTTACCAGCCCTGGACTTCCTGTCTCAGTTCTGGTTGACCCAAAGGGCTGGTCTCTCAGGACTAAGGCTGGGGGTCAGCCCACTCACAATGTCTGGCATGCCTCCACGTCTCTGGCTGAATGTGGTGAGCATAGACATTTACTGCTAAAGCCAGCAAAGCTATGTGTGTGTGCACAGGTCCACACGTGTGTGTGTGTGTGCTTGTGTGTCTGAGCTTGAGTGTGTCCAAGCTTGCGTGTGTCTGTGCATGTGTCCATGCATCTGTGCATCCATGCGTATGTGTGTGCGCCTGGGGCAGAGGGGCTGCTGGCAGAGAGCGGGGCAGCAGGCGCACCTCCTGCTGGTGTCCGTGGCCCTGGGTGGTGGCTCGGTCCAGTGCAGACCATAGGCCCAACCGGCTTGTCCCAGGGACCTGGGGAGCCGGGAGCCGGCGGTTCCCAGGGTGTCCGGGCAGCGGGCCCTGTTCCCTGCCGGCTAAGCAGGGAGCGTGAGGACCTGGACCTGCCTCCCAGGTGAGAGACCGGCGGCCAAGGCTGCTGCCGACTGAGAGGGAGTCCTGACCGCGCAGCATCAGGAATCAGTGCAGACTCGGCAGCGCGTGTGTGCAGTGCGTCTCTGAGGAGGGACACAGCATAGATGGAGACGTCGGCCTGGCACTGGAACATGTCATAATTATATTCTAATTATAAAATAGAGAGGGGACCGGTTTAGGTGGAGTCGGAAGAAAAATGAGTTTTGATTATTTTAAAGACCCACTTTAAAGAGCTGTGCTGCTAAACTCCTCCCGTCCTCGGCGGCCTCTCCGGGCCTCGGGGAGCTGGGAGCTGGTACCAGCCAGCCTTGAGCTCCCGCCTGCGCGGTGCCCAGCAGCGTGCGTGCACCTGACGCCGTCATCTTGTCCACCCCCCAGGGGCCCTCCTCAGCCCCATTTTACAGATGGGGAAACTGAGACACGAGCGCTCCTAAGTGGCAGGACCAGGATTTGAACCGGGGTCTCTGATTCCAGAGCTTGTCTTAACCACTGGCTCCTCAGCATCTCGTTGCCGAGAGCGGAGCTGTCC